CACAGCCATTAGTAGAGGGTTCATACTTGTTTTGTACTCAATGTAGAAGCGCCTTAGTCTAGTAATGTCGTAAAACTCCTTCAAATAAGTAAATTAATGTACCATTTTGTGTCAAATCAAGAAGGAGGAAAGTGATTGAGATGTGGTTGAGCTTAAAAATTTGCAATAGACGTTTCCTCAAGCTACTTAATCGCCCTCTTGACTTCTCGTTGGGCGTTGCATTATTTGCAACCGCTTGGGGTACATTAATGTCATTGGCAGAAAGTTTGCTGAAATTCCCAAACCGTGTATCAGAAGTGGCATTTTTTTTCATGATCTCTCGTAATTTCCTCCCTTTGCCCTAAGAAATTGTTGGAAATGTAGTAAACCTTGCCGTCCCTACGAGTTATGGTACAAATTTGTCGGGGATTTCTTATTTAAAGTATTCAAATGTATGACGACGCCTTGGTGATGTGGATAGCTTCATGAAAGACTTTCGCAACTACAGTCTTGCAGGCTCCCTATTTACACCTTCCAGCAAAATTTGATTCCATACTGTGTTTACGCATTATTACGAGTAAAGTCCTCAGAAGACGGCGGCGGAATGAACCCCATTGAAAATTTTTAAACTGAATTCCTTTAAGCACATTTCCAGCTGCCAGTTAGTTGTCGAAGTTCCTTCTTTGTTCTTGAACCTGCCAGCTTTCAGTGCCAGGTACACGCGGTGACAACGCAGTCAATCAACAAGGTGACTATAAATACTGCGGCTATAGGATACAATCCGCCTCAGATTGAGGCCTAAGTATCTCAGCAGTATTATAACCTATTCCAAGCAAGTACACTTCTGTAGCCGTTAATATTGCCGGAGGTACAACTCCATCTTCAAAGCAAATTTATGTCAGTAGTTGTGCAATTATCCAGTCCGTCACTTTGGGTGGTTCCATGAAATATATCTCCCAAAAGTTAGAAAGCCTGAGAAGCCTGCAATTTTTAGGTCTCTGCATGGAATCGGTGCCCTGCGGCGGAAGTTGGTTGAAATCCGTGCCTCTTTTTTTGCTGCTTTTTCTTGAAAACTAGTGCGTGTAAAATTAATGAGTATTGTAAATCCGGTGGTAAATGACCAATGGTGATATACCCGAAAGATTGTACTCCACTTTACTCCCTGTTTGCTATAGCACCTTCGATGATTTTGCCGGGCACAACCCGTCTTTTCGGAGGGATTTCACACATGACTCACTGCGGCTGCATCTGTGGTTATATCATCGTACTCTTTGTGCAAAGTAAAATTTATTGCTTACATGACGCAAGGAAGCACGTTTTCTCATCGTATTTTTTTTATCAAGTCGTGACTCCATGGCGCCAGACATCGTTCCACCGCTCTGTGCAGCTGATGTGTCTTCCAAAAGGGAAGGGGGTGGGTAGTTCTACCGGTGAGCGCCGCGTCACCGTTTTCGCGCAAGGAGTGTTTGGGTCAAACGGCGATTTTAGGTCCTCCGGCTGAACTGTCAAATTGTACACTGCTGTGGCGGCACTAAACGTTGTAATAAGTGGCAGTCTATCCTTTTACATGCGCATGTGTCGTGGCACACTAGTTCAGACTCCGTTCATCAGGACGACGGCAGGCAATAGCGTGCCTGCAATACCGTATGGCGGGCGATGAACTACTTCTTTTATCAACCAGAAAGAAGACATGGCAGCCAAATACACGGACATCTAGTCCTATCCATGGAAGACGTGACGCGATGATGAATCCCTCATTAGTTCATTTAACTTAAGCCAATGCTTCAAAGACAGCCAGTCTTACGTGAGTGGTGATTCCGACCACGATGGTTCTCAACTCACAGTACAGCAGTTAGTCCTTCCTCCGAATACTCGGTCGACGCGTGGAACGCCTCCTTGATTCTGGATACACAACTCGTCACCATAGAGTTATACAGGAGCTGACTCTGTGTGGCCGGCGAAGACAATCATTCAGAAATGCTTGCAGCCTTGGTAAAGCGATGCACTTCTGGGTACCAAAAAATACTGCTGGTTTTTTGAAAAGGTTATTTTTACTCTAGGATGAATCGAAATGTATCACATGCCTATTTAGAGAAACAAGCAAAATCTTTGCTCCTTATAATGCTCTACAATTTGAATGAAACTTACCTCATGTGGGTAAATGTAACCTCCTTGAAGGATAATCGCGAATTTGTTCCATTCCTTTGGCGGTTGCATCCTCCACTTCCCAAAGGCATGCCGTGGTAATACTAATTAGTTCAAACCTCCCCTCCCCACGTCAATTTGTGCGTGGGTCATGAGGGCTAATGCTGTCGACGTCCACTGGGATTACGGGGAAAGTGGAGGAGGTGGTGGAGGAAAGGAGGTTGTAGCATCAACAGCTGCTGCTGCTTCTCCGCCGTCTTTTTTTGACTCGCTTGGCGTACTTCTTTGCTAGCATTTCCCTTTGATTCGTGGTGGCTATTTATATGCTGATAGGTGGTATTATCCAAGAGCAAGGCTCATTTACATTGTCGCGGTTCCTTTCCATATTATTAAAACTGCGTCTTGCTGATGCTGATCCCGCTGATCTGAGAGACTAGAACCTCATAAGGCATCGACAGTTGTAATAAATGAGATCCTGCCTTTCTCTAAATTAATGTTTTTTTTTCAATTTCGGTGCAACTAAGACAATGAAGTCTCGTAAATTCCTTTCACTACTTTCTTTGGAATCTCTTTTAACAAATTTTGGTTTGCTAGTTCCTCGGAGGTAAGAGTTACAAGTTTGCGTCTAACATTGTTTGGTAACTGGAGGAACACTAAGACTTTTAAACTTTAAATACATTCGGTTAAATGTTTTCAATGTTGGTACTTCAATTTATGACGGGAAATTATGTGGGATTCTTGTAATTTGGTCAGTTTCTAAACCATAAATCCTGAGCCCGTTAATGGCATTTCTAGTAAACTCTGTTCCTTGATGTCCTTCCACAGGGTACTGACAGTGTGCGGTGGTTAATTCTCCCATTACAACGTTGGAAATGGCTTGTTCTTTGTGAAATATTGTCCAGGAGTGCTTTCAAGTTCCCCGTGCTTTTATAATCTGCTCTGGAAGTAATAAAAGCAGAAGAGGGAGCATTAATTTGGGCGTAGTACCCAACCACTTATTACCTCACGAACCCGAGGCGGAAGTGACAACCACATAAGTTGTCATTTCATTACGAAGCCGACCTTAAAACAGGGTTTGTGAGTACACTGGAATGCTCGAAAGTGGACGTACTGATGTGGCAGGTACGGCAGTGTGGTGAATGACCGCGATTAATGAAGAAAGAGGTCTGAAACTGATTCTTGAAATCAGAATAGCCATTGAGGAAAATGCTGGTTTAAGTGCCCAGTCTGTCTATGCTTCGGTAAGTAGAACCAAAAGAATGGCGTTACAAAAGAGTTTAGAAGTTGAGATCCTTATTTATCGAGAGGCACTTGTTTGCAACCTAAAGCTATTCGTTGATAGGGCTAGGTTCTTTCTACATTCCCTTCTGCTGAAGGTAAGAAATTCGCTGCCCCATTCGTGCGATGTATGATGCCGGTTTTTTGCGAATGGTTGCGCTCGAAATTAAGGCGGGAAGAGGCAAGACCTTTGCCCTTTGAATCATGACTTTTTAAACCGAAGTGGATTTGCGACACTATTCAATATTATTGTATCAGTATTATGTCTTTTATTTCACTAGAAAATGCATTTGAAGGTCTTTCCTCTTTATCATTTTTTTTGGAAATTTACTCCATGGTCATATTTCAAAAAAGTGGAATAAAATTGTCATTCGTAACAGTCTTTGATTTGCTGTACTTTGGGTGTTGTTGCTTGCGTGACCATTGGTCATGGTAGCGCCAGTTAACTTTTGGGTGAATTTCTGGGGAAGTAGAAAGTAAAATTTCTAGTTCTAATTATTCTCAAATTCGACTATCCAGTAAGCCGATTTCATTCCCCAAAGCGAATATCTGGGTGGTGGGTCAATTTCATCAGCCCGACGGAACTCTGTGCAACAGTGGACAATATCGGTTGATTCCAGTAAGAGGGTTAGGAATTTATTCAATCTGATTAGCTACTTTGTTTATTCCGAAGTTTTCGTTTGTTCATCAGCAAAAAGTTCCCTAGGATCCTCCTCTGCCTGCTTTATTTATTATTTCTTGACTGAAATAGAGCAAAACCAAGTATTCGGTTCACTACTTCCTAGTTGAATGAAGTGAATTTTATGATATGTCCTTGTTCAAAGTTTGTCCTCCTTTGGGTGTCTCCGCAAATGTGATGGCATTATAGTCTCTTTCACATTCATCTATCCAAGCTTTACGCGCTACATTTCACACTAACGGTCACCTCTTGAGCAGTACTGTTTGCCTTTTTCTCAGACTTGTCAACACTCTGACACAGATTTCTGTCGTAGGTAGGCCTCCTACCTTCTTTCTGTTTTCCTTATTCACACACTGCAAAGGTCCGGAGAAAGGGCAGTTCTATCGATAAACTCCAACCAAAATGGGCCTTCAAGGTAGTGATGGTGCATCCTCACGACAGAACTAAAATAATCAAAAACAGTCATCTTTTCTGTTAGTTTCTCTTAGCCATAAAAAAGCCAAAAACCCAGTAGTCTAAAGCGTTGGAAATTTTGGTGGTAATAACCGAATATTTTGAATAGTGGCCCTATTTAACTTATCAGAAAATTGTACTTGGGTTAAATGTTACACTAGTGGGAATACGACTGATCAGGAAGCCGCGATTTTCATTTTTTGTGCAAATTACGCACTATCACGTGTTTCGCGAGCTCCACTAAAGACGGGTTGTTCTTTTTTCTTTCTCATTGACCCCGCAGATCCAGAGCATGACGACTTCAACGTCTGCCTCAACGCGCTATCGATCTCGCACTCCGGGTCCGGGGGAGGAGCCTCGACGTGGCACGGCTGCGGGATTGGGCAGTAGTTCAGACTGCATCTATAGTCTGGGTGAGTCGGTGAATGGGTTATACCTTCACCGCTGTCCTACACCACCGCTTGACACAGCCACAACCGGTGCTAACTCCGGTTTCGGTAGTGGCAGTGGTGCCAGCGCTGCTATTTGGACCACGGGACTCAAGCGTTACGGGGGAACTGATTTCGATGCTTATTGCTTACAACAAGGCCTCTCACGAGGTGAGACATCACTGACGTGTCGATGAGTTTTCTTAGCCTTTCTCTTCTCTAGCGTCCAGTTATCTCTAAAATGGCTTTTAAATTGCACGAGTCTTGAAATGGATTTGTTAGAAGTGCACAGAATGAAAAGTTTTATATGGTCAATCGTCCAGTTGAATGCTCCGTTTTGCATTATTAGTTCAATTTATGGGTTCATGTACAAATTGTGAACCGCATCAAGGAGGAATTTGCTTTGAAATGGTGCTAAAGGCTAGACAATGTTCTACAGCTGGTAAATTCCGTGCATCAATCCCTTTTTATTAAAGCAATTACATTTTATAGACTCGGGCTACTGGGTCATCCTAGCAGCACTGTAAGTGGATGTGTGAAGGTGATTTCGATGTGTTAATTCCTGATCCCACTCTGTTGCCGACCGTTAAGTGTGATTTGAGATTCGGGGAGTTGAAAAATGTCGCCGCCATTGTGACTGGAGGTTTCGCCATTCGCACTGACTTCTGCCTGTGGCGTTTTTGATGTTGCATTTGGCGCTGCTGCACCAGGTGCGTACGAATCATCCACGAAAGCCTAATAAAGTACACCGGTTTGAAACTAGCTGCATTGTAAATATGCAGAAGAGTTGAAGGACTAGTGGCATAGGTTGCATGAGCGAGTACCACCCCATTCCTGAGGATTTCGCGGTCCATAAATAATATTTATTTACGGTCTAATTGGCCAGAGTGCCAGAAACACACATGGGTTAATCAGAGACTCCTAAAGTCAATGTAGGGGCTGTATTAAGACCATCAGGGGTCAGCTTCAGCCACGACCTTGCTCAGTGATTGGCGCTTCCTTCATGAGTACTAAAACTACTAACTACGAGTCAGTACCTCATTTTCCCAATTACTCTCGTCAGATTTGTGTGGTAAATTAAGTACTTCAGTTCACGTGAAAGCTGTGGGTACTAGTTTTTGCATCTCATTACCATTGCACACCTAACCATTCGATAAAAAAAACGCACGTTTCTCTACTCCACCTTTGGTTATGCATGTGCTTTGTCTCCGGATTCATTACACTGAGTCACACGGCTTACAGTGTATAAAGGGGGCAATACATACACATCATTGCTCATTCTGAATTCGTACACATGTTTGGTGGTTCTTTCCATCGAAAACACTCAAGAGGCAAGGCGTTTTACCGCGGTTTACTCAGTGTAAAAGTCTACCAGATTGGAAATGTTTGTAATACGAATATAGATGTTTTGTGCTTCTCTATAGTGCCTGAGCCATGCATAAAGTTCTAGCAAGACGTATCAGTGTGGACGGAAGTTTACTACATGGGTATATATGGACTGAGAGATTACAGGCATGCACAGAATCCCATGACACCATTATAGTGAGCGAAACCTACACAGATTGAAAAGCCCGCCCGGTTAACTTGCAGTCAAAATGTCGCTCTGTTACGCATTGTATTTTTTCCCAGCCAACCCCTTTGGAAGCGGACAGTTGCTGCATCTGAACTCGGACTATGAGTCACTGCCCCGACGTACAACCATTGCGCCGCACATCTACGGTGAATTTTTCGTAAACCTGGGACATGAGGCCAACGGTTTCGGTTTTAAACTTCTTGGCGGCTCGGAAGAGGGCACTCAGGTTCGTATCCCACTCGTTATTTATAAAACCTCATTTTTAGGGTACCCAAATCCAGAATCTATCAATTATGACACATTACGCTTTGCTCGTCCTTGGTTGCATTGTTATCCCTCAAGATCGTATTAGCGTGTCTAGATGAGGCCTTGCTATGAGCATATGGAAGAAATACGATACTAGAGGTGGTGACTTGGGAAAGGCTTCAAGTCATGTAAGCGAAGAGAAGTTGATAGGTTACTGGTAAGGTAGCTCGGGTGTCCATTGTCTTTAGTGTGGCGTCTGAGTCCACTCTAAAACCGTACAGGATTATACGTTTACAGGTCTGGTGAATTGTTAACAAAGATGACTTGAACAGGACGCCGTGAAATCAAGCTAACAACCACAACATATGGAGAGTTATTTGTTTGGCCTTCACTCTCCATGTCTTCGGGGGGTGTGAGAGTTTGTTCAAGTGGGAATTTAAACTGTATTTGTGTATTAAAGCGGCCGTATTTAACTTTCACATAGGTACTCCCACGTTCGTGCACTTGCTGTGACCTAGCACGGTCACACCGCCTCACCTCTCAGAAGACTTGCTGCTAAAATCTGTGCGCCTTCGGCATCGTTTTATCATTAAAAAGTTTACTCTTTATAGGCTGAGTTGGTATTTCATGCTTCCCGAGAGTTGAGACCTACCTGGAGGAAAAGGTCAGTATGATTGCACGACGAGAAAACTTGAAGAAAGGTTAATGTCCGACCGTGGTCGGGGAAATTTAAACTGGCATTTTTTCAAAAAAAGGGTAAAATTAAGCAAGTATTATCTGCCTCGTTGGGAATTTAGCAAAGAACAAGTAAGTTCATGTGGTTTTTGAATGGAAAAATTGAGTAAATGGAGGAAGCTTCTTGCAATATAGAATGCATAACTACTGTAGTGGCGTCCTGAGACTTCTTCAAAGACGAATAAAGCATAATACTAGGGCTAAATATGCTCTATTGACGTCCAGAAGGCATAGTAGCCTACTGGCATGGCTTGGAGGCCGTGCCACACAGCGGAAGCACAAAGACGGAGACTCGAGTGTCCGCAAAACCAAAATAAAGAGCTAAACAAACAACCGAGTCATTACGTAGCTCATCCCTAATTTTGTGCATCGTCTCTAGCACTCCCCTTAGCCAACCTCCCACTTCGTCCGTTACAACGTAGTCGTTGCTGTAAGAGAGACATCCACGAGCCGACCGCGTCGGACATCGAATTCGCGTACAACTCCTAGCAATTCCACTGGATCTGAGGGTTTGCCCTATTCAGAAACTGTATTGCAGGAAGGGAGATTGTGCTGGCTATCACGAATGTCTATCGATAGTCGTAGGAATACTGACCCAAAACAGAGCCATTTAATAAAGGTCAGTGTTTGGAATAGTGTTGTGAGGATAAGGCTTCCCGACTATTCCCCTTGCCACTGTGTTCTCACTTCAGTGCTGCCCGTCCATATCTATCTGAGTTCCATCCAACTAGTGGAGAAGTGGAGGAGGTATTGCGTATTTGCGTACTTGACACCCTCAAACAGGTACGGTAGACACATCAACTATGAACTTTTCCTGATGATCCATAGCCATGGCTCGTGTCGCTTGAGTTGTTAAGAGCATTCTTGAAGACCACGGAACTGGGGCAGTTGTCGAAGGGAGGCGTCATTTTCAACCTTTCTGTTAGGGGTCGTTATGGCTTTTCCCATCTGCAGCCTATGCCCTTCTTCCGTCACGTTAAGATTTAGCATTCAGAAATGGAAATCAGGGTAACTATGCCTTAGGAACGGGTTCGCTTTCCGCTTCCACCAGTGTATTATCGACATGCAGATGGCCCGGAGACCATGTCGTCCAGATGTAGCACAGAATCGAACCTTAAGTACTTAAAACTAAAACAGCCTACAACCCTTCCCAATGAGACAAGCTTGCCATGCTACCGTACGAGGGTGGTCGGGTTGTTGGACACAAATAGTCGTACAACATGCTTGAACACGACTACCACTCCCTTGCATTTTACAGTTCCCAATTTCCTCACTTTCTTTAAATTATTCAAATGTTGAGCACCTTCAGTTGAATATCGAAAGGGGTCTATTTATGTCGAGGAAGGCGCTTTCCCACAGGCAGCGCTTACTGGAGCATATGGTGGGTTTTTTTGGTGATGCTAGCAAAAGAATCGGTACAAGGTCCTGACCCAGTTTTCGGTGCTATTTTGAGCCTGATCTCACGTTTCTCTGGTGTTAAAAAGTAACAAGAGCAATTATTCCTCATTGACACTCCTTTGAGACTTGTGTGAGCAGGTTGGAAGCAATTGAACCAAATGAATGCATTTGTTCGCTGTGTAGGTGACAATCGGGCAGCTGGCTCCGGGTGGTGCGGCGGAGCGGAGCGGTCAGATGCGCGCCGGGGACCGGTTAGTCTCGGTGAACGGGACACGAGTGTTTGGTGGCAGCCATGCGAAGGTTCTCGCTCTCCTCGAGCGCGCCGCGGACGCCCACGGTGAGGTCACTCTCGGTCTCTGGCGGCCATCGCCCTCTCTACCGGCTTCCACTTCCACCTCTACGGTCAGTTCCTGTCCTTTATCACCTCTTCCTTTCCTTTATTTGATTTTTCGATTGAGAAATGGTCAAAGACAGTCTGATGCACAGCTTATCACATATGAGGTTCAATTCAGTTTCAACAACTCCAACTCCATGACAGCATTAATTGTTCTCCCTTCATCTCCCTCCTCTTCAACTCTCATTTGTTTTTACACCGGGTTTCTAACGCTTCACAAACCCTTAATCAAGCGTCCCAGTTGTCCCTGAATACAACACGAGCCATGAGGTGACTAGGTAACTGGTAGCATAAGTGGAACGGGTATACCCCTCGACTTATTCTTTTTGCTTTCTCTCACTTTCATGTCAGGGGATAGTAGAAGCAGTCTGACATCTATCGTACTGCAAGCAAGATCAGTTAGCGAGGAACTTAGGTGCAAATAAGGCGAAAATTCCTCAAATAGCTTTTGAATTGTTTCGGATGATATTATAAGGCATATGAGTATGGAAGCAGCTTTATCATTAAAAGAGAATTTGGGTGTGAATAGGGTAAAAACCTACCTCCTTAAATTTTTGGAAGTTTGTTATTACTCGTTGAAGGGGCGCAGGCCTCCGAAAGTTTTATGCATTACTGTTGGCAAGAGAAGCTTGGAAGTGTAAAGGGGATGACTAGAAGTGCAAGGGATTGGGCATGGCAGTAAAAAAGTTCTGTCGAGTCTTAAAAGGTTGGCTAATTCGGAAATTGTTCTCGCTCTATTTGTTTGTCTACTTTAACTTCCTTAGGTCACTTCCATGGGACTACGATAGTAGCAGAGGAAGCTGGATGAATAGGCAATAGGAATGTGAATCTTAATTTCACCTTTAGGAGACTAGGAGTTGGGGCATAAAAAGATTTAAGTCATTTTCACCTTTATTTGGTTATTAATTATGGCGAAGTCGATTTCAAACGGTAATTAATACAACCAGTTAGGGCGTAAATCTTATCTAGTGGCATAATTTCTCTACCACAAAGGTCATTTTTTCCCCTCTCGCGAAGGCTTCCCCTACAGACCGCATGTATGTCAATTTCATGGTGGAAGCTTGCTTTAATTACTAACGTTTTAAGTCCTAATTCCGCGAATTTGTGTTCCAGAAAAGTGCTAAACCTGGCTGATGATCCTTATTTTATTTCGGTATCTTTTGGTCTTCACTTTTTTGGTAATAAATAGGGATTGGACATTCTTTGTACCAGTAACCGAGTTGTGTTTCTGCGACTCCAATCCGGTAGAAATACTTTGGATCTGGCATCACGTTTTGCTTCTAAGGAATCCATCTTTTAATACCTCCTCTGACCTCGAAATTACATTGAAACGATAACTACAACTGGATTTTCTGTGCCCGTATACGACAGTCACCTGGATTCTATCGTTCTCCCACCTAGAAAAGCGGTAGATTAAGGCTTCAGAGCGAATTCCTTTATTATTAAAGTAATGCGTAAGGAGTAAACAAAGGCAGGTACATTCAGTGCGGTGACTTCAGTTACGCGTAGCTATAATAACAAATTAGCCTTGACCTTTGAGTGGCTGTCAGTAACCCTAGCGTACACTTCGGCTTGATGTGAGCCAGTCAAGAAGGGTTGAGCGAGAGTATGATCTTCTAAAGGTTCGAGGACTAGTCATCGATTGGGCCTTCTAGAAAGTCGTATGGGAACGTATTTCTGGGGTCGCAGACATTGTCAGCAGTGTGTATCTGCCTTTTCCTCCAGCTAACAATTTTCTCTTCCATTAACATTTTGCCTCAATTGTCTGCAGGGATTGTCGGTTCAAAACTACCTTTCTTTGTGGTTGACGCCCTCCAACAACTGGTAGTTTATGTCTCATCAGTTCTTTCCTACGTAAAAACAGAACACTCGTTTTTGTTTTGAGAGCTTATTTCGATAGCAGGAAGATCAGTATTGAATGACTCCGCTGATCTCAAAGATTTTGTCAGAAATTTGAAATCGTTTACGAAACTTAAACGAAACTGGCTAGATTTTCCCCCTTCCCTCCCACATACTTCTTCATTTACTCCTAGCTCGCGCCTTTCTAGTCACCTAACTTCTAGTGGATTGTGATTTTACTTCTCCTTTGGGCTCTACGACACGCAAGCAATACTGATTTCATCTTGTGGCATTTTATTTACTTCGTATTTACTAGCATCTTGGCTACTTTGCTAGGTTTGGTCTGTTTGACCGGTTCAACTGCTGCCCAAAAACTAAGGGATGTAATTATCCTTAGACTAAGAAGATCCTACATCTATTTTATTCCTTTTGAAATTTTAACAAGACTGTTTTGCCTTTCCCTTTATCTACCTCGACTAGAGCGCATAGTTGTAGAATCAAAGGGTTGGAATAATGCTGGTCTTTTTCGACCTTTTGTATACTTCATTTTCCCCTTTCATCAACGTTAACTGGAGTGGGAGTAGGTCGACGTAAGTCTCCTTGGCTATTTTATCCCCCCCCCCCCCCCTAAAAGATTTCATCTGACTGGACATTTGAATGATGGTCAATGCGGAATTTAACCAATGAGATTCTATCAGAGTGTTCTTGAGTGCCCCAGCTGACCTTGGGAGAACTTTTGCAGATGAGCCCAGCCTGTATTCTCACTGGACGTCTGAACAAAACTGGTTATTTTACGCTTGCCTAATTCCTTCTAGCTTTTACTGCCAATCAAGGTGAAAGTTGATTAACGGGGTATTCTGGTTTTCGGAGTCTCATCTCAACTCAGGGTGATGATGGAACTTTTAAATGGTATCCGCGTGTTACCCAGCCTAACCGCTTTGGCGCATCTTGTGTGCCTTTGGAATATCAAGTTGTGTTTTCACTTGGGATTTGAATGGAGCCGCTCCCAGCTCACTTCCAGGCAGAACAAAAGTCGACTAATACGATTTACCTCATTATCTATGCTTTATGTGGACCAGAACGGTCTTTGCACTTGATATTTGGAGGAAGTTTGTTATACCTAGTGTCGTCCACTTTTTTCTTCCGCATCCCGCATTGATGAGGGTTAAAATATATCTACAGGTAACTAAGACGTTCGATCAAGCATAGTGCTCTCAGTCTCACTTTATCGGAATGTCCCGTCCAAAAATGAATTGCCTCTTAATATTTTCGCCTGGAGTTGAAAAGAGGATGGTGTCTATCTATTATCTACCTCCTTTCTGATCAAGAATTTGTTTCAAACAAGTCCAGTTTTAACTACTTTGTGTGCATTTTATTTGACGGTGTGCTTAGCTTTTCAACAAAATGACATTGGAATGTTTCCAATTGTCTTTTCACTTGAAATATGAATACTCCACTTTCCCTAACGATAGGCGCTAAATTGGTTTTGTCAAGTCGCTCCCTCAAGTTTGGACGGAATTAGACCAACGTAGCGCTTATTCTGGCCACCTTGGACTATGACCTTCCCATCCACCTTTCCAAGTCGAAGGTGGACGTTATTCCTAATTTTTCTAAACCCGATTTTCATTCTACTTCCCACCTCAGAGCGGAAGTCATTCGACGGAGAGCACCAAGACCCGGTGCTGGCCCTCGAACGCGACAGCAACGATGGGGGTGCGGAGCGTTTTACTGCAGCGCCTACCGGGGGAGGAGGGTTTTGGCTTCGTCCTTGCCAATGCACCTTTCAAGCCGAATAAGTCAAGGCGGAATGGTCAGGTCGACGTCAGGTCCGGCGGCCACTTTATCTGTGGGTTCCATTGGCTAACGTGCTATTTGTAATGCTTATTTTGCGGGTGATTTTGTGATCAAATGTGCAGGATGTTGTTTAAAATGGGCCGTAGCAGGATGTGATTCTTAGTAAATGAATCAACTTTTTTAGATTTACTTGAATTTTCACGGTCACCACCAGGCTTTCAGAGGAGGGTTGACTGGTGCAGCCGAAAATATGTCAAATTATACTGCTGCAAAACTGGGAAATATTGCTGTCACCAGATTGAGGAAGTCGTAGATCTTATTTCATTGTTTCGACATTAATCAACGTGTTTGCAACACACGATTTGGAAAAGTCAGTGACCATATGTTGACGAGGAACACATGTCGCATATTTGTCACACTGAGCTCGGGTAATACGATCCGGTCATCACGTGATCGTCGCTGAGGGCGAGGATGGTAAGATAAGGTTTTTTATGCTCTCAGATTCAAAATGTGCCAGAGATTTCGTGTTAAATACTGAATTGCCACTCTTTTTATACCAGGTTGTACCTAAGCTGTTGCAATCAAGCCCTTATTCCAATCGTAGCTGTTACTTTTTTTTCGATCGTCACAAGCTTGCGCATCTTATGCTCCGATTAACTGGTAAAGTAACCAAATATCATGATGTACATAGTTTTGATAACAGCAAAAGCTTTCTCGTTACATTCGTGCAATTTGGCTGCAGGAGTGACTCTCATTCCTGAGCTGTGACACGGCACCCCGTGACTTCACGCATTCCTTTGACGCTGCTTTCTATTGCCTTAGTCACCGTTGTGAGTCATTCGGAGTCAGCGTTGAAAAGTTGTCATGATTCTCACTTTTGGGATTGGTTTTCAGTTTTCAGTATCACACTTGACCTACCTATTGGGTTCCGCGATTGACAATTATGCGTCGGATAAAGTGAACTCCTGTTATTATTCCGCTCTTTTACTCTCATTATCGAATACATAAATTGATTTATATTTCCTTGCAAGGACTGAGGGTGGTGCTGCATCCTTCAGAATCGTTATATTTGGTGTCTACATTAATAATTACAATTTAGATGAAATATACCCCATGTCTGTGTTAAATCACGCATGCTGTTTTTTGGCCAAACTAAATAGGGTTATGTAGCACGTCGAGACTTCCCTGAAGTCGAAGGACGATATAATACCATAGGTAAATATGCATTATCGACGTACAGAAGGTCTGAGAGGGGGTACCGGAATGACCCAAAGGCCATGCTGGGGAGCCGAAGCACAATGGCCATAGCCTTCAGTGCACGCGAAACCGAAGCGAAGAGTTGAACGAATAACCAGAGTAAGGCATAGCTCCTCTTCTCTTTTAAAAGTCATCACCGGCACTCTCTCGGCCATTACAACGTAGAAGGTAAGGTTTGGCGTCTGTTCCTCCTTGCCATGTCGTACTCACTTCAGTGCTGTCCAGCCATACCCATATCGGTTACATGTAGCTGGTAAAAAGCTGGAGGAGGTATTGCGTGTTCACTTAATTGATATCGTCGTACTGGTACAGCAGACAGCTCCGTAACTAACTTTTCCAGACGGTTCACGGCTGGTGCTGCTTCGGCTGTTAATAGCAGTCATGAAGACCACGGGACTGGGGTAGTTGTTGGAGACAGGCGTCAATTTTAACGATTCTGCTAAGGATCGTCACGGATTCTTCCACCCAGAGCAATAAGTCCATCTTCCATTAAGCACAAGAAGACAATAAGAATAACCTAGGACTCCAGTGTTATTTTGGAGGTAGCTTTATTACTGGAGTACGGAATTAGCAGCATAGGGCACGCTAACGTACATTTATGGTAGCAGCCGATTTATGATGAACTGAGAAAGGCTTGTGTTTCAACAAATATCATTGCTCTAGGTACCCCTTACCCAAATCATTTTCCTGCGTGTTTTTTAGCGAGAGTGGTTGCAGGTAGCGCATCAGACCGATCGCGTCTTCTGCACGTGGGCGACCGTCTGCTCTCCGTCAACGGGGTCAACGTGGCGAGTCTGCCGCGCGAAGAGATCATTCGTCTGGTCAAGGCCAGCGGTCCCAAACTTGCCCTCACCATCCTCCCCTACAACATCTGTGAGTGCCTCCCACCGAAGGTGAAATTGATACATCGGTTTTATTTTTATCGTTCCCTTTGCGTATTGCAGCAATGACTCCGTCCTACGAACAGATGCAGTTCTACAACAGCCAACTTTACCACCACCAGCAACAGCAACTATATCAACAACAGAAAGCGCGAGCAGTTTTCTTTCAGGTCACCCTCTTTCGTTCCAGTCGCGGGTTCGGGTTCTCCATCCGCGGAGGTCACGAGTTCAACCAGATGCCCCTCACTGTCCTTCGAGTAGCTGAGGGTGGACCCGCTCATCTCGACGGCCGACTCAAGGTACACACACACACACACGCACACACACACACACACAGCTTGAGGCTAGAAAGCTTGAAGATTGCAACCCAAAAATGTGTTCATTATCAATCACTAGCACGACGGAAACATCGCTACCGCAGGCAAAATGCGCCAACTTTTTTGACCAACTGACTTCACACCAGTGCTTTTTAAAATGTCGATGTCCCTGGCCAGCTTTATTTGAAGTGACAAAATCGGGGCATTTATTTCATTCTCTCGAATGCTGGGTAGTGTTTTCCCTCGAAATTGCCGGTATTAGGGTGCCATGAGTCACCGTTCCTTCGGTAGAGTCGTGAAAGCAGTGCTGACTTTACTTACTACAAGCAGGATATGATTCGGGCATCATTTTGTACTTGCTATGCTTTTGTTGTTCAATTCCGGTGTTCACAAATCTACCTAAAAACTTGTTTGCGTGTGTGCGAGTGGGCATTTGTACTGGAGGCCTTGGCGTTGAGGTGGATCAGGCTCGAGGGTTCTGTGGTTCAAGCTTGCAGCATTAACTTGTATCACACCCTGTTGCCAAAGCTACCGCATTAAAAAACCTCATTGGTCTGGTTTTTTGCAATGAACTGTAGGTCGCTTAAGTCGTTTCAACTTTTACTGCCCTCTTTCTGTCAGTCTTGCGCTCACGTAGCTGCTGGTATCGCAGCCATGCTGTACTCAAACTTTTTTTGCCCAAACTTGTAGTTGGTGTTTCAGAGACCTGAAGAATTTCAAACAAACCGTTTAAAATTGTGGTGTGAAGATGTACGGATGGTCGTGATGTTTAGGCAATCCAAGTTTCAATTTTCTCTTATTATAAATGCTACCCTCTGTCGCTTCCTCCCTTTGGTAGATTAAAGGCCTTTACCGATCACGCTTTTATATTTGGAAATGAGCTTGCAACAATCTAGCAGTTTAAAGTTCAATTTTTAATCTTCCTTGGGCTACAAACTCGTCACAATTTTGCTGTGGACTTAGTAAGGTTAATGCCGAGTAATTTTTGGCTGAATTCGAACTTAAAATTTCGGAAATTGTATTTCAACGCCTCGACTCTTACCCGAAGATGTATTATTGACGTATAGAAGGATTGGGAGGCCGTTCTACCCGCGCAACCAAAAAGGCGAGTTGAACAAAGGATCATAGCATTCCATAGCCCACTCTCTCCTTTTGAGCGTCGTCGTTGGCGCTCCCCTTGGTCAACCCCCCGTGTCGGCCATCACAACGTAATCAGTGTTTTAAGAAAGGCACCCAAGAACCACCCGTGCCAGTCATCGAATCTGCGTGCAACTGAGACGATATTTGACCGCAACGTCAGTGACACCTTTTGACAATTCCGCTGTATCTGAAGTTTTGCCCTGTTTGGAAACTGTATTGGAGGAAGGGGAATTGTGCTGGCCATCGCAAATGTCTATCTCTAGTCGTAGGTACACTAGCCTAAAGGCCGAGTCAGGAAAAAGTGGATGGGGCTTAAAATACTTTCGCGTCTGTTCCCCCTTGCCACGTTATTCTCACTTCAGTGTTGCCCAGCCATACACCTATCCGCGTCCCATCCAGCTAGTAGAGAAGTGGAGACATCCCGTGTTTGCTTAATTAACACCTCCACGTAGGTAGCGTAGACAGCTCCGTAACGAACTCCTCCAGATGGTTGACGGCTACAGCTAGTGCCGCTTGGGGTGTCAATAGCATTCTTGCAAAATACGGAACTGAGGTAGTTGTCGAAGGTAGACATCATTTTTCATCCTTCTCTTAGGGGCCGTCACAGATTCTGCCATCCGCAGTATATGCCCTTCTTCCGTCACATTAAGGTTTCGCATTGATAAATGTAGATCAGTGTAGTTGACCAATGCAACGCCTTGAGACTTCCTTGAAGACGAGAGAAAACATAATACTAGGGCGGAATATTTATTATCGACGCACAGAAGGGCTGAGTGGCTACCGGCTTAGCCCGGAGGCGACGCCGCCCAAGATAAGTTCAAAGGCGTAATCAAAATGACAATTTAAGCAAATATTCAACGTACTACAACGTGTCTATGGGCGATAGTTGAGGTAATCGACGAGAGCAGGTAGTTTTATTGCCTCCTAATATTTCCTCACTTTTTCAATACCAATAATTTTATTTGAACTTGCTTCAGTGTCGGCACGCCTTTATCGCTGAAACTGATTGACAAGATCCTGAGACTTTTGGAACATCTTTTACGCTCCCCACATATGTCCAACAATTTTTACAGGTTCTTATCTGAAAGCTTTGCTACCTGCCTCCCTGCCTCTCCATCATCGACATTTTTGGTGCTTTTATTGCCAGTGCTTCGGTTATGAAGACAGTTGGTAGAGCTTGAACTTGTTGATTTATCAACTGCAGCATATATCGAGGAATATGAACCACGTCCAACGGTCTCTTGGGCAAACATTATTATCTCAAGTTGCCCCCATAATGTAAACTATGGCATTATTCATTGGAAATTGTCTAGCCCTGACCTTCGTGAGCGAAATTGAGCTGGGGGCTTTAATAATGGTTGGTTGAGGTCTTTAAGAGCCACCATTGGCTTTTTTTAAAAAGTAAATTTTTCCTATTTTTACTGTCAGTGTTAACAGCTTTTTTTCTGATATCAAAATATCATCCAACTTTCCATTTTCTGGAATACGTTTTTGCCAGAGTGCACTGATTTCCCCTTCATTACTGTTTACCTGGTCTTTCTCCCCATGAAACGAATTATGACTTTCAGTGTATGGTAGTTTCACTAGCCAATTCCCCCTGCAATAGGTGATTTTGACTGTATACGATGGTGAAGTAGCTGACTTGTTCATCGGTATCCTAGGTAGGCGACGAGTTGCTGCAAATCAATGGTTTCATGACGGCGGGGATGTCGCATCGTCGTGCGGTGGAGATAATCCAGGCGGGTGGGAACATGATCCGCCTTGGCGTACGCCGCTTAGCTCTGCCCGCTGGCGAGGTAAGGAATTTCGCTGTGCCTTCGCCACTGCCTCCACCTCCGCTCTCCTTCGCACCCTTCGGTCCACTGCCGTCCACACCGTCTCCAGCTCCCGTGGTGCCGCACCCGCCTCCGGCGCCTCCACTACCGCCGCCCAATCTCCGCTCGCCACAGTTTTTTACTCCCCTACCCGTGCACAAATCATCCATTGCATCCCGTCCCCTACTCTCCTCGGGTAGGTGCCGACTCTCTCTATCCTATGCTTCAATCTCGCATTGCGGTCGTCACGCCTTCGGTTTATTCTATTTGTCCTCTTATACCGGTCGTTCTGTTTTTACCTATTATCTAAATAAACACATCAATTTAATTGGATCATTAGGATTCGCTTAATCATACATCAATCAGGAGTGTTTATAGCGTGCAAATGATATGTACGCTCGCTTTGTTCACAACAGAGAACATAGATTTGATATCATATTTATGATACTTTTTGGAGCTTGTTAGCGGGGAATATGCCACTTTTTGCAGAATCCTGGGAAGGCTGCAATGTCTGGAAGGTTCAAGACGATTTACTTAGCGCGATGGCTGGAGGTTTAGAAGTAGTTCCTGTAAATTGAACAACATATTGGTAGCTGATCAGTTCGTAATTTTCCCGAACGGTTCGTTGGTGTTTCGAGTCTTATGCGATGAGGAATTCTCCAGAATCCAAATGTTTGGTCTATTTTGATCCTACCCATCATTTATATCGTCTGATTGTGAAAAGCACTTCTGCGTCATCGTTTTAAATCAGTTATACATGTCCTAGCAAATTTACATTTATTTTTTATCTTTTATTAAGGGGACTTGATAAGTTCAATACTTTTAAACCATTTTTTTGTGACTTGGCTGTTGTTGATTCGGAAGGTGAGGGACCGGCGGAGGATCAAATTTGACACGTTGAGTGCTATCGTCATACATACGTGACGTCTCAGTTTTTTTTACTGACCGCGCTCGTCGTACACACACACGCACACACACACACACACACACACACACACACACACACACACGAAATGCGCCAAATCGTACATTGCAAAGACCTCGCCTGAGTTTAAAAGGAGTGAAATGAATGTAGGCTGATAGTAACCTGAGAACAACTATCTTTTTGTAGTTCCCGATCAGCAGTTGAATTGGGCAGTTGGGTACCGCAAACTGTTGTCTCGTAGCGGTGATTGGTAGTCCTCTGAGCTCCCACTGAGCAATGTGCTAAATTGTCATTTTTTGTCAATAGTGAAGTTAGCTTTCAAGGATTTATCCCTCACCCTCAAATACTCAAACGCCATCTCGGGAACGGGACATTCTTAAGTATTTTATGGAAAGAACTTCACATTTGTCATTGAGTCAGTCTTTGCATCTTCAGTGGTCCAGTAACTGATCTGCGAACCGACCTCCGCTCATCTCTGGTGAGTTGTGGCTCCTCACCATCCTCCTAACACCATTAACATCATCGTAATTAACCTTATCCTAATCGTTTTTCGTCCATGTTGTGATTTGTTCGCATGGTAAGGGCTAGATGAGTGCATGACACGCATGATACGCTAGTTTTATGTAATGCGAAGTACGGAGTCGGATAATCTTGGAGTGAGTTGAACCCTAGGGCGCTTGCAAACTTGATTTATCAATCGCTGCGTGAGGTTACCTCGGTCCATCATACATGGGTACTTTAAATTGGTTCTGCATTTTAGCGAAGGGCCCACCGGGACAACGAAGCCTCATCAATTACCAATCACTGCCTCGACTGTGGCAAAAGCATCACGGTGGCACTGGTAGCCATTCCTCGTCCGACCACAATCTTGAGGCCTGGGCCAGTGGCGACAAAGGTTGCTATGGCTCCCAGGTTGCCCCCGATCGGTACCACCCTTGCAACATTCAACTCTGACCACCACAAACCCCATAAGTTCCCTTTTCACATTTCCTGTGTTCCGACGCCACTTTATTTTGACCAGACACTTCTACTGCCTTTTGCTTTTAATACAGAAATATTTTATCATGGTGATGTAATGTTTTGGAATGAGCTCCGCCTAGAACCTCTTTTGTGTGTAATTGGTGAGATGTGGGATTATCATAGAATACTGTGCAAAATTCCGGTAGGGTAGTGGTCTCTTCCGAGTACGGCGAATGCACGCTAAGGGGTGTGAAATCAGGGCGGCTGGGCTGCCTCCATTTGTTCGGGTGTTTTTGTTTGGGTCAAGACAACCCTGATATGTAAACCGGTGTCGAAACACAAGACATTAATCGGTGAGTATGTGCAAGTCAGTTATGTGAGCGTAATTATTTTAGAAACCCATGTAGCACCCCGAGACCTCTCTGAAGGCGTAAGCGAACATATTACTCGGGCAGGAAAAATATCGTCAAAATGCAGTAGGGGGTGGGGGTATTGCCATGGCCCAGAGGCCGGCCCAGCCGGCGAAAGCACGACTGCTCTTCACCGAAATCAGAGGGTTAAACAACCAACGTATTACCCTTCCTGAGCACAAAGAAAAGTGCTGTTATTTTAGGGTAAATCATGTCACTGTTAGTTTAGCCACAAATTAAAGAAAAAATTAGCAAAATTGCCGGCAAATATACATTAGAGCAGAATTACAGGTCCAGGTGGCTGTGCTCATCATATTCGAAATGATTGGAAAGGTGATAAAATTATGAAAGATATTATTTTTGTATTTTTAAAAACTAAAAATAAAAACCAAAAAACACAACAAGTCGATGCATTATAATTATTTTTAAATTGCTCCTCATCAAATAATTAAACCATTAAAACTGATATTGTTTTTTACTGACTAACCTTCATTAAGGTCGCCATAACCTTGAACCTGGAAAGCGGGTTTCACGATGACCGTATCCACCGTGAATGTTGTTGTGCCAGCGTTCAGTTGCGTAGTGTTTTGCGTCTTTTATGTCTTCATTATTCAACCTACCGTTTTTCGCCTTTTTGGGCTACAGCAGCCAGGT